CTATGTCATGGCTAGACTGGCATACATTTGTTGGTGTTTTTTTTAATAAAATTTTATGAAAATGTATAAAGGCAAAAGCCGGGTTACCGCGAAATCATAAAAATACTTTATTTTAAGGTAAAGTGGCTCTTGTCATTTATGCACTCCCATATATTTTATTGAGAAAAATAAGCAAAAGTTTATAAAGAGACAGTTTTCTCTGTTGACAAACTCGCACGCGAATTGCCTGGCAGCTTGAATCGTATAAACAGTTTGCTTATTCTAGACTCGTCGAGTGGGCCAGTTGATTGCCAGGTGGTTTGAAAGAGGTTAAAAAATTGCAATTATCATCAAAATCAAATTGGGTGACCATTTTGACCAATCCAGTCCAATCTCATTATTATCGTTAAATTTCAAGAACATTTTTGTATTAAAATGATAACAATTAATTCAATTCAATATATTCTGCAATTATGTCAAATTGTTTATGTCTCCGACATACTAGTAGTTCGTCTCGGTCAGATCACTTGTCGCCGCGAACAACTTTGAAAAACCAACTGTTTAGTTAAACACAAGCTGTCGTGCAACTCTCAAGTTAGTTTGCCAACTTTCTGCCCCAGTACTTCTGACACTTGCTTAATTAATATGATCTAAGTACAAACCGACAAAATATTACAATAGTCAAATCACGGTATTACTGCGGAAGTGTTTGTTCCCTTCCAGGTTGCCAGGCACCCATTCTATTAATTTGCATATACTGGTATAGGACGTAATATTAAGTCATATTTTCATATATTTAATTTTTCCTTCACAGCCACGTAACAAGTTCTTTCTCACCCAGAATGTTAATTTCATTTTGTCATTGTAACATTTTTGACGGTTATACAATTTCGAGAAAATTAAAACATGTAAAACAAAAAGATTTTGTTTAAATTCAATACGTTTATATTTAACCTAGCATTCAACGGTAACTATGATAACCAATGATGGTGAAGATGATGAAGTACACTTTAAACGTTTGCGCAATTAGAAAAGCGCTATAAGCCACGGGACTCTTTCCATTTATTGTTCACATTTTATGGATATAAGAAGGAAAAAAACGGCGTATATTAAATATATATTTCAAATACATAAAAATCGATGGAAGACGGGATTTCGACCAGTAATAAAAAACATATATGATAAAAATTATATGAAATTAAATTGAAACCCATCTTAAGATGAGCATGAATGTTCGAACAAAATTATTACAAATCGATTAGCATTTAATTGTGTTAACATGTGACGACTGAATATAAATACAAAATAATTCGCGCCGTTGTTTAACAACGAGATTTATCAGAGTTAAACCACACGGCGCATTCCCCGTCTAGACTACAATATTTCTGAATTATTTTTGCCACATCAATTCAGTAGTCAGCATCTGGTATCATCTGAAAAAAATAAAACAAGTGTTAGCGTACTTTGATTTCATGTGGTGCATCAACAAATTAAATTGTGTCAGTGATTGATGTTGATGCTTGGCCATTATTAGGGTGTCCCAATTCCAACCAGTGTTATGTCGTTGATATGGTTAATATGCATGGAAAATTGAATTCTTTTTACTATTTTCAGTATTTATTTTGGCGATATGATAGTCTTTTGATTTTTATGTGTTGTCGCAATTGTTTACGTTTTGCCCACATGTACGTGCGCAGTGACTGGCTGACAAGAAGCGGTCGTTCGCACCAAAAGATAAATGACACAAAATAAAATAACGACGTTGTTCGCTGATGTTGACTAAATATTCACGCATGCATTCCTGTTAAAAAAACAAAAGGGCAACGTGGTCAACGTATATGGCGCGCTATGTTAATCAGTGAGTGGCGATCAGACATTCATATGATTCTGGTTGGCAAAAAATATAAACAGATGACGTCACAGTGCGACGGTCTATGCAGGTTGATTAAATCAAATTGAAGTTCAAAAAAGAGTTTTATTTGTATACCACCCTCTAATTCTGAATCTAATCCCCACTCTTAATTGTAGAGGCCCCTCTAGATAACTATAGGTGTTATTAGGAAAGGCATATACAATTAAATAGGTGAGGTTAGTGTTAGGGGTGGCGTACAAAAGAAACTTGTTCCGAAGTTGTGAGCATGCGCACTGAATTAAACGTACGTACAGTACTTCATAACACATGTGCTCTTGGTGTTGCACATAGTCTATCAATTCTTCAAATGTGTTTTCGTGTCTGACTGAACGCGTTTAGTTTTGTAAAATAATATACTGGTATATAAGCGCATAGAATTGTGATTATAATGAATGAGTGAATCTATTTATCACCACGTGCTGTAATCGTGGTAAATAATGTGGTACATTCCACTCAATATATACCTACCATTTTAAAGTTGTTTACGTTATAATCGTCGATGTCGCTATAGTGACCAGACCACCTAGCATCCTGGTAAAATAAAACGAAAGTATTTGTAATTGCATAATTTTCGCATAATGATATTGAGATTTAAAATGACAAAACTATGAAATCACCAATATATTTACCAAATGTCACCAACTTTTGACACCTTGAAAAACAAATTATATGCATATTATTTTGTTGACAAAAA